CACGCATAATCAATCGGTCGGCTCCACCTTAAAATATCCTACAAGTTGTTTTTCGATTGTCTGGGCGAACTCTTTAATTGGCTCCAGGACACGAAGGGACATTTTCTTCCTTAGCTAGATCGGTGAACCCCCTACAATCCTCATATTCCCGATCGCAACCGACAAATCAAGGAGCCTGTGATGCAAAGGTTGAATGATGAGTAAGAGTACCTATTGGGGTCGCGAAAGTGTCCTTGTTTATTATAACCACCTACTAACATATTTTAGGTAGGTTGAATTACCGAATCTATTCCCCGTTTTCTGCATGCCGACCGTCCACTTAGTAGGGATTGGATGATGGCATCAGACTACAGAGGGGTCCTCGGAAGGCCACCACATACAATAACCGCTTAAGTCAGTAAATTAAGCAAAAATGGCCTTTCAAGTTAACCACAGGAATGATCGCTTACTTAAAAATTTTGAGTAGGGTAAATTTCACAATCTTCCAACTTCTGCACTCGTTAACCTTTAATCTAGTTAGGGTTGGTGGCACTACTACCTCAGTGATCCCGCCCGAGGTCAGGGCACACTCCCCCTACATACACGCGCTCGCCGTTGGTCCGGTGGGGGGTAGGCGATGATATTAAAGCGCACTTCAGTGTTCTTGCCCGAGGTTTGAGTACGCGCCCCAACTTACCCTCGTAATTTTTCTTATTTTACAGGATTATTGTTAACTTTCTTGTTCCCTGACATGCCCCACCGTCCTCTCCTAAAATTAGGAGCCCATAAGACCGAGGGGCGCCACGAGGTACTCCTACCGAAATGTTGAACTCAATGACCATGGGTCTCGGGTGACCCATACTTGGGATCGGATATGACTGGCTGATAAAGGCTAATAAGCTAAAAATAGCCCAAAATGACCACTCCGGTCTCCCTTGTCTTTTCCGGTTCCACTTCAACATCACCTACAGGTCGGAATGTGGCTGCCTGCGTGGGCTCTTTAGTGAGCTCCAGGGCACAGAGGGACTTTCCTGTTCATCAACTAGATCGCTGTGCCCTATACGGCAGGTGTCCCTTAGATATCTCTATCACGTTCATGCCCTTCTGTAGAATATTTGAGTTTAAATCCGAGAGCACTGATTTCATCTAACGCCTCAACTTAGCACATCGTCTTACACTCTTGCGCTCTTTATGCACGCAGCAGTTCAAGCGGTCGCCGAACCCCAGTTTCTGGCAAGGTTGCCCATCACTCAGGTTTGAAGAATCTTCCAGGAGGGGACAACAGTACGGCCGCCGCAGCCAGCAGCCCCTCCCCGCCTGTCCCAGCTGGCCCAAAGATCAAACAACGCAATCAGCCCACCTTGCCTTCAAAGCTCTGCCTCAAACAGGGTAATACCTGATGCCTTAGCTACATCAGTGCACACAGCACTACCTCACCGAGCTCCCACCCTCTGTCTCTAGTCTCCGGTCTACTGCTCAAAACATCAGCTTTCAACTGCTCCCTTCCACCACCATACCCCCGCGGGGACTCAGTCGTCTAAGGAAAGCCAGGTTGTAGGCCAACACATTCGATTGCCGTCCGGTGCTCCTGACGGTCACATCTTTGTGTTCCCCGATCTCTTACTCCTCTTTATCCTTTCTTTTTCTCCACAGTTGTACTTACTTACCGAATAGACTTATTCAGTAATTGGGCATGCTTTCAGTTCAGTGAACGTCTTGCATGTATGGTACGACGGGCTGGCGCGTATTCCATTTGTTCGAGCGATTTTTCAAGGTTTTGTGACTTTTCTTTGAAGCAGTTGATTGGCGGGCACATGCAACAGTGATAAACATAAAAATATCTACTGATACAGTTTCAGTAACAAGTACGCCTTAATGTTTTTGAGTGGTATCATAGGCTGTGAATCACGTTATGTGAAGAGAATACGCGGTCGCACAAACAACAGTTTTCTTCATTCGACATTTCATATCCACACCGAAATCCTTAATCAGAAAAAAAATATTCGTAGGCGCAGCGGCCGTCCTACCGAAGCTTATCAAAATTAGGATGCCTGC